ATACCTGTTGGCTTGAATCACAGCTAATGGTGTAGGAAGCCCCGGCACTCTGCTTTCTGGGGCATGCTGCCCTGGCTTCTGACCCTGGCTGCCTCGGAGTCCTCTCAAGTCGCTCCCAGTTTCCTCCTCTGCAAAATGGAAAGGATGTCTCCAGCTCCTGCCCATCCCGAGTTCTAGGCTGAGTCCCCGGGTGCAGCTGCAGCCTTCCCGCATTGCTTTCCCAGCCATTCCACAACACGCTGGAGCAACCCCTCTTCCCTCAGTAACCCCTAAGTTCACAGGTCAAACCAGCCTCACAACCCACCAGCAGCTCCCAAATAGAACTTTGGACTAGGTAAGACTTGAATTCTTATTTTAGAAATGCCTCCATTGGCATTGTCTTCCTCCCAGTCTGCCTGCTGCAACCCTGCCCAGGATCCCCTTGGGGGAGAACCCTGTCAAAGCATCTTCCCCAGAGCCCCGTCAATACCTTTTCCCAAATGAATTAGCACAACAGGTGGCAAATTGACCCTTGGCCATCAGCACCCTCAAATATGGACTCCCAGATCACCTTGGTCCTCTTGGCAGGATCTGGCTCCTAGGGGTTCCCTGGGTGCTGGGACTACTTCAGCAGCCGGCACAGCACAGATACTTTGCTCTGCCTTCCCGCTTGTCTCTGAAGAGCGTGGCAGCCCAAGCCTGCCGATAGCAAGTGCAGCTCTCATAATGGCCAACAGCCAGGGGAGTTACTTTGTGACTTAGGGTCTCACAGCTCACGACAGCGAGCCGTCCTCACTGTGCTGCTGAGAGCGCAAACCCTCCGGTCCCCCAGGAAAGATGCCAGCAGAAGGAGCCGGGGAGACTGGGCGAAGCCAGATCCTCTAGTTGCCTGTTTGGGGGCCTTTGGCGACCTCAGCACAGAAAAAGGAACTTGGAACATATCAACTGAAAACAGCCTCCAGGAACTTGCGCTTGAATAGGTGAGCAAAACTAATCCGTGTCCTCTTTGGAAATACGGCAGGGCCACAGTGATAATTACAAAAGGTGCATTAGGAGGAAGAGGTGAGGGAGGAGTCAACAGGTTAGACTGGGGAAGAGGTGAGGTTAATTAAGGAACACTTGCAGGGAGAGGCGCCTTCAAATTCTCGCGCTGAGAAGCATAAGAGGAGAGCAAGTGGGAGAAAGGGCCCTGTCCCTTGGGCACAGAGCACGCCGGGGTGCCACCTATGGGAGCCAGATTCAAGGAGGCAAAGGAGGAAGCGCAGTGCCTCTGTGCCTGGCAGGGGAGAGCAGCGGGACTGAAGGGAGATACGGACACAAGGAGCAGCAGCCACTCAGGGCTTTAGGCAAACACAGGCAATTAACTGCACAGAAATTCTGAGAAACAAGGTTTAGTGCAAGGCCCATTTCATCTCTTTAACCCCAACACTACCTGCCCCCAAGGGTTCCTTTCAAATATAACGAGGGATTTATATATATATAAATCTTATGTACATAAGATTTAGGTAGCATCTATGGGAAACTTTGAGAGGATGAGGTGATTAGCGACTGACCCTGGCAGGAGAGACACTGGGGAGGACCTCGGACAGTCTCCCACACAAACTGCGAGGTCCCAGTCCACTTTCTGCTGCATGGACAACAGCAGACCAGGCTGACAAAGCCCTGCTTCTGTTGAGGACAGAGCTTCATGGCCTCCAGTCCAGGGCTAACCCAGGCCCAGCCGGGCATGGCCAGGATGGTGTGAAGTCCAGAGGTCACGAGAAGGGCGGATGAACTGTAAGCACTCTGTGGAGGGGAGGGGAGACGCAGTGTCCTCAGACCCCTCTTTTCAACAGTTCTAGAACTGACCACTCTCTGAGAGAAACTAAAAACCAGCCCATTCAAGGCTGGTTTCTGACAGATCTGTTCAGACAAGCGCGAGGGCTTTTGAGACCCGCTGGTTACTGTTGAGTCAAGCTGGGGCTGCCACTGTGTCTTAGCAAAGCTTCGGAGCCCACGTGCAAGCACACCGACCCAGGACAGGACCTCGGGCAGAAGCAGAAAAGATGCACATGGTAGAAGGAGAGGCAGGAGAGCCCCTGCAGACCCCTGCGGTGGGAAAAAAGCTAAGTGCAGGGAACTTCTCCACGCAGCCCAGGTGGAGAGAAGGCACGCTAACGGGACGGGCCCTCTGCAGGGAGTCTGGCCCCTGGGCTTTGGGCTCTGGGCTCTCTGGCCTCTGGGCTCTCTCCCTAAGGACCCTGGGAAAGATATTAAGCTCTCTATAATTAACGGGCTCCTATAAAACTGGAAGAAACAGCCCATTTCACAACCTGTCAAAGTGCTTGAATTGTAGTCCCTGGGCTCCCAGAGGGGGGCACTGCTAAAGACAGGCAGGCCAAATTCCTCTACTGGTCATCTTCTTAAGTTGAGATTCAGGAGGACTTGGCACAGTTCTCTCCTTTTTCTGGAAAACCTCAAAAAAGCAGCAGGTGGCCACACTCTTAAATAAGCCCCTGAACCTACAGGGCCCAGCATCCTGGATGCTGAGAAGGGAGAGAACGCCTAGTAAGGCCTGAAAGGCAGGTGACCGTGGGGCCCAAGAAAGACAAGTGAGAGTTGGACGTCGCCGGGTAAGTCTCTCCTGACCCCCACAGAACCCACGCCGATGACACGTGTGAGAGGGCGCTCGTGAAGCTGGTTTCTGGCCGCCAGCACAGTCTGGGGAGCTGGGGGAGAGGGCAAGCTGAGCTGCAGAAGGCACAGGGCGTGGCTCTGAGGCCAGGCACAGGCAGCAGGTCCCTACTCAAGTTCAAAAGGCCAGCCATTCCCTCCAAAAATGAAAAACAGAACTACCATATGATCCAGCAAGCCCACTACTGGCTGTACGTCCACAGGAAATAAAATCCGTGCGTTGACGCGGCACGTGCCCGCCCACGCTCACTGCAGCGTCATTCCCCGCGGCCAAGACGGGACCAGCCTGTGTCCGCGGACGACGCAGGAATGAGGAAACGTGTCTGCGCAGCGTGGAGCACTTCCCAGCCTTTAAGGAGAAGGACATGCCGCCATCTGTGACGGCATGAGTGGACATGGAGGACGTCATGCTAAGTGAAATAAGCCAGGCACAGAAAAACAAATACCGCATGATGTCACTTTTCTGTGGAATCTAAAAAAGTTGAATTCTCATAGAAATAGAAAGTAGAATGTTACCGTGGGCTGGGGGGCAGGGGAGTTGGGGAGATGTTGGCCAAAGGTTATAAAATTTCAGCTAGACAGAAGAAATGAGTTCAAGAGATCTATTATACAACATATTGACCGTAGTTGATAATGTCTATGTGAAAATTGCTAAAAAAGTAGATTTTAAATGTTCTCATCACAGATAAAGCACAGTATATGAGGAAATGCGTATGTTATTAAGCTTGATTTGGCCATTTCACAAAGTATACATATTTTTAAACATTATGTTGTACATCATAAATAGCCAAAGTATTTGCCAATTAAGAAAATAATACATTTTATTTAAAAAAAAAAAAAGAAAAGAAAAGGCCCAGCCTGGCCTCTTTTTGAAACACTGGGCAAAATCATGCAGAACTGAGGCTTGTAAATGGAGGTAACCTTGGGCTTGGATCCTCCAAAGCACAAGGAAAGATAATCTGAGGTCTTGAATTCACCAACGAAATACCTTCAACTCCTAGGGGCAAGACACAAAACCAAAGATAAGAGGCCAAGGAGTAAGAACTGGAAGGCAGAAACAGTGCCCGGAACCCAGCACTGGGGAATGCCAGTCCACGCACGTATGCACACATTTACTGTCGGTGACAGTCACTACCAAAGACTTCAAAAAAGGACATCATGAGAGCCCAGGGCAAGAGATGGAAAAGCACCCTTGGAAGCCGGCATCCAGACCAGAGGCCTCCTGGGGCGGGGTGAACAGGACAGGACAGTTCCTCAGGGGTGACACTGAACTGGCACAGACCCCTGCTTACTCCGGCCGCTGTGCACACTGTGGCGCATTGTGTCACCACCTGGTATGCAGATCAAAACTGCTGCGGGGTGGGCTGGAGGTGGAGGAGGCGGCTTTCTACACGCTCCGTACAAGGAACCTCGCACAGGCAGCCAGGTGTGGTCTGCACAAACTGGTTCTCAGAGGCCAAATCCTTAACTGCTTTGTCTATTCACAAGAGTTAAGACAAGACTCTTTTCTCTTTGTTGATCTCAGTAGCGAAAGGAACACAGGCACTGCCCTGGCAAAGGCAAAACTGCAGCCACTTTCCGGCTGCCCGTGTGCATGGAGAGCAGCAGCCAGATGACTGAAAACACACAGATCTTCCCTGTTTAACTCTGAAATGAAATATATGGTTGTTTCGGAGAACTAGTCGCAGGTTTTGCTTGCTAGTTGAGGCACTGTTAAACTGTTGGTTGGTATTCTCCAAGCCCCCAACTGGGCAGAATTAACTCTGGGGCATCGCAGGTGAGCATGCCGGGAAGCCGTCATCAGGGGGACCCTGCAAGATCAGGGTGCTGGGCCAGCATGCGTGAGAGTCAGACAAAAAACAGAGGCAGGGCCCCTGACATACACCTTAGAAAACCTGAAACCTACCTCTTTCCTGATCTTATTAAAAATGGGACATCATTTTTAAATTTAAAAATCACAAGCACATCGAACCAGGCAGTTCTTATATCTTCTTCTGTTAAAAGTTGCAGAGCCCCATCATCTAAATGGATACTTAATAAGGAAATCCCAGAAGGATAAACAAGAAACCAGTAAAGATGATTACCTACAGGGGCTCGGGGTAGGGCAGGATTTTTATAGTTTTTTTTTTGGGGGGGGGTGCTGGGGAAAGCCCCCCCATGCTCGTCCTTCCACACCTGGGGCCTCAGCGCCACTTCCACGGCTCTCTGCACTTGGACACCAACAGCCTGGCCCAGTCCCTTGTTTTATAGACGAGGAAACAAAGGCCCAGGGAGGCTGGCTCACTCTCTCCGTGGGTCACATTCAGGAAGGGTTAGGTATGCCCCCAAGAAGACACAAAAGCACTCAATCCTTTTGAAAGATTTATTTTTAATTAAAAAATAAAAGTTATCTTAACATATCTGCATTGCAGTTTCAGGGATGGCAATTCAATGAAGCAAGAAAAACAAGGGTTATCAGTTCTTGGCTCACATGACCATCTTATAATGGGTACAAAGGCACACGTGTCTTCAAACAAACAAACTTGATTCAGAAACATTTCTTAAGAACTCAGAACTCCCTTCCCCCATCTTTTTGTTGTTGTTGCCCGCCCTCACCCTCCCCCCCAGAAAACAACCAAAAACATTACATTCTCTTTTAAAACTACAGAAATAAGTGCTGAGTCAGCGAGGAACCAGCGCACACTCCCCACAGGGCTCCACGGGCCTCTGCGTTGATGGCCGGCTGCCTAGAGCCGGCGGGGAGCGAGCTGAGCACCCTCACTGCACACCAGGACGGGCCTTGCGACACAGACCAGGCGCCCAGGCATCACCCAGCTGGGGCAGGCAGCTCCAAGCGCTGTCTCCCTTAGTCAAGGGCATCCATGGCTAAAGCAGCCTTTTGAGAAGAGAAGGGCCTAGGATGAGCACGTCTTCCTCAAATGCCTGCGATGACAAGGCCATTGGAACTGCGGGTGGGAGGGAGGCAGGTGGGCCTGTTGTTCTCTTCCAGTTTACCCTAGAAGTTTTTCTCTCCCTCTACTCCCCGCCTTCTCTCTTTTCCCTTCCTCACCATCTCCCTCTTCCCCGCAGAAGAGCTTTACTTTAGCTCAACGGGAGGGGGTTCGGAAGAGGCTACTGGCAACTCCTGGGGCTGGCCTGGCGGCTCTGCCATCTCCAAGGGGATGTCGCCCGCTTTGGGTTCCTGTGCTTCACAGAGCTGCTCCTGGCCCCGGGCGGGCTCCGGGGGCTCCTGGCTCTGGACTTGGCTGTTCATCTTCTCTTCAGCTTCAATCTCTTCTGATGTGGGGATGGAGTTCTTCTTGGGACGACCTTTGGGCTTTGTGGGTGCTTCCTGTCCACCTTTAAGAACCTGTATGAGAAAAAAGTTATTGAATCCAAGAAATAACTCCTTCCCTCCACCTTCCTGCTTCCCCAGTGTAACCCCACACAGCATCTAAACCACTTCTTCCCAGCAGGGAGATCACAGGGTTCATTCACACCTTCATTCTGCAAATGCTCAATGCACTTTGGATCAATAGCATATATTTTGGCATTGAATAAAGTGATCATAAACACATAGAAAATTCAACTTCAACAACAAGGCAAGAAGTGAAAATTAGAATGTTAATACAATAACTATCAAGTTGACAAAAAGGCAACAATATTTGTAGCAAGCAGGAAAATAAACACTGACACTCTAGTGTGAAAGTGTGATTGGTATCTTTTCAAGATGATCTGAGAATTCAAATCAAACGTGAAAATGTGCATACCTTTTCTGACACAGAAATTCCTTCAGCTAAATTCTAAAAAGTCATCTATTAGAGGAATAGTTATTAAAATCCTTTGCCCATTTTTAAATTTGGTTGTAAGGTTATTTGGTTGTAATATTATTGAGTTGTAAGAGTTCTTTAAGTATTCTGGATATAAGTTTCTTATCAGATATAAGATTTGCAAATATTTACAGATATAAAATTTGTAAATATTTACACCTATTCTGTGGGTTGTCATTTCACTTTCCTAAGGATGTCCTTCATAGCACAAAAGTTTTTAATTTTGATGATGTCCAATTTGTTTTTTCTTTTGTTGCTTACACTTTTGGTGTCATATCAGGTTTTACCTGATCCAAGGTCATGAATCTTTAGTCTTATGTTTTCATCTAAAAGTATAATAGTTTTAGTTCTTACATTAAAGTCTATGATTTTTTGAGTTAATTTTTGTGTATGGTATGAGGAAAACAATAAACACCTCCTTTTAGCTGAAAATCTGCTCAACCACCATACTTCCCACCCAAACAGCTAACACACGAATGTGAAGGGGACATTTAATGAGACAGAGATGCTGACAGACCAGCTCCAGAGAGAAGACATCCCTGTGCTCCTTTTCACGTAGGTCATTATCTGATCTTGATTTCAGCTGAGTGCAGGCTTCTGAAAGCACCCAAAAGTGCCAAGATGGAATGTACATGCTGAAAGCAGCTCCACTCGGCATGAAAGAGGTTATACAAAAGTAAGTTGCTCCATGGAGTAATCAAGCTAGCAAAGGGCAGGTCTAACAAAGCCACCTAATTGGCAAAAGAAAGTCCAGCCCAGCAATTAGAGAACACCACCCACACAGTTTGGATAGACCCCACCTGGCTGTTTTCCTACAGCATGAAAAAAAGAATCAAAACAATCAGACCATTTTCTAAACGGAATAAAACATTCCAGCGCAAGCAATAATTAGCAGATAACTACCCTCTTGGCTGCTTTTTGCACTTGACCTCTGGCCCTCTGCCTTCCAGCACATCTGAGACATGCAATTATCTCAAAACCACCCTGCACAAGGGTGTGCACATTCACATGCACCCTGTGGCCCTCGTCCCCAATTATTCCTAGAGCCAATTTAGTCCCCTTGGTCTAGAGAAGCCAGACAACCTATAGTATGAGAGGTCACATGCCTCTCTCCGCCTCTAGGAAGAACATCTAGTGCACCACCTACTTTTATTAACCATGACTGTGGACAGCTCTCTGCTGAGCTCTAAAACTAAGTACTCAAATGTTCTGTTGCTGAGGACCTCAAGATGGGGCCTTTTGCATCCTTCCTGGGGTGCTTAGATGGCGGACAGGGATTATCAGTGCAGGGGGAAAACTTCTCTCTCCCTCATTTTTCAGAAAACGGAGCTAGCCAAGAGCAGAGCTGGATTTGAATACAAAACCCCTGACCATTCTAATCGAACACTCTCGGCAGTATTGCATCCGGCACAGTGCGAAAAGGATATATAAAATGTGCCGCTGTTCTAGGTCAGGTATTTATTTGCAATTATCCAAACTCCCAGCAGATTCCAGGCAGCAGACAGATTAATGGGGTGATTTTTGCTCTATTTTCTCTCTGGGCAGCTTTGTATAACAACGGGGCCATGTAACTGATGACTGTGCCTGTGAGGCTCAGACAAGTTTGAATTCTCCGGTGTGAATTCCCTCCCAGACATCGCTGCTCATGTTAGCTGCTCTCGAGGCCTGCAGATGGGATGTCCCATCATAGCCCAAGCAGGGCCCGAAGGCTCAGGCACTGACTAGGAGACAGCTGGGGAAGGGGACTGAGAAAGGGCAGAAGCCTAGGACTGCTAATAACCAAAAGAAAACTTTAGGGTCCCATACGCTTGTAGAATTCACTTTTGGCTTATCAATCCTGGCCTCCAAAAGTTTGGATTCTCTGAAGACATGGATTTTAAGGACAGGTAAATAACAGTAGTAATAATAATAACATCTCTTGGTTGCATCTTACATGGCAGGCCCTGTTCTAAGAGTTTTAGAGATTATCTCAGTTAATACTACAACCCGCAAGGTACATGGTAGGCACATTCCTGATGAGGAAACAGGCGTGCAGAGGTTAAGTAACCGCCCAAGGTTACATAGAAAGCAACGGGTAACAGTCTCGTGGAGTCACTGACTGGGGACTTAGTGAGAAGGATAATGACAGTGCGTGGTGTGGGCCCACCCAGTTCTGAGACTTGGAGAGGAAGGTGATGTCCATGTGGATTCTCTCATGGAACAGAAGTCTATTTCAGAGCTGAAAAAGACCCCTTAGTAAGGAGATACTGTCATCCTGCTGAAACACCAAGGCCCTCCTGGAACTGAAGCCAACTGAAACGGAATAGAGGGTGAGCACCCGTCTCACGTGCAAGAGTAGACCTACCCAGCCCGCCACAGGGTACCACTGCTGACCAGTCAGAACCAGTCAGAGATGCTATCCTGGTCCTGGCAAGGCTGCCCTTGGCAGGCGTGTGAATACGTCTGAGAATCAACTGCTAATCTTTTACCAGTTCCAATTAGGTTACTAGCCTCGAGACATCTTTATTACCCAATTACCTTTTCTTTTCCTGCCCAGTACCTGAAGAGATAGCCTTGAAAGAGTTTTGCCGGGAAAATATATGAAGCAATCAGGATCCCAACAATGCCCTGCTGTTCCATAACTGAGCGCCATCCCCACATGTCAGCTCCCGCCGTGCTGAAGCACCTACGTGCCCTCAAGGATTCTGTCCCTTCCTTCTGCCTGCAACACCCTTCCCAACGTCACTTGGCGCATTTCCGTCCAACCGCTAAAACCAACACAGACGACCCCTCTTCCCTGAATCCTTCCTCCACACTGATTCCAAACCCTGTAAATCCTTTTGCTGTTGCCCTGATCACTCTGTATAATAATAATACTAGTTTGTAGGTCTTTTTCCCCCACTTGTCTAAGTACTTTCTTATAAGTTTATTTTTTAATGAACAGGATGTCTTTGCATCTCTGTAGCCTGACAAAAGCAAGTGCTGAACAAATTATTGCAGAAGTGAACTGAAAGCCTAGCACTCTTGTCTCCTAAAAGGACCTGAATTTGGTTGGCCTACAGAATGCTCTCTGAGGTTAAACTGCTGAGTTTCTTCCATTTTGGTTTATAAGGCATTGACAGCCATCAATAACCAGCCCACAGCTGCGCCAGGAGCACAGTGGCTGGTGAAAAACAAGTGACGTCGGAGCCGAAGGCACATGCGTCGTCCGTCCCACGGGTATCAGGCGGAGCTGGCAGGGAAGGCTGGCTGTCAATTCCTTAATCATCTGACTCATGAAAAGATTGCTGATAACCAATTTAAACAATGCTTCTGCTACTTGAGAGACACTGATTTCCATGCTGACGATTGACGAGGAAGGAGGTGCGTGGTGGAACTTGCTCAGAAAGCAGTGAAGGGACTTGCCCGCATCAGCCAGGGAGAGGCAAGCATGGGAACACGGCCCAGTGCTTCCCACTCCGCGGTCAGGTTCTAAAGGCCAATCCCCCAAAAGGCCTCCACTGCGGAGTCTCCTGTGTGTCTTAGCACTACACAGTTTGTGGAATGACTGTCTATTTAACTACATCCATTCATTCTCCAATGCTTCTCCCTGCAGTCTTCTCTACCACCTCTCCTCTGAACACTGATAAACTTATAAATCTATAATAAACAACCAGCACCTCATTATAATGTGCTCCCTAGCTGCTTCCTGGGCCTTGTTTCTCTACAGATCATAAATCCCTGAAAATGGGGGTTATATTTTATTTCATCACTTCCTACAGTGCCTAGGACAAGGTATGGTTCACAGGAGATGCTGAATACACAGTTGTTGACTCGTGCAACAGCTGTGTGTTCCTACCTCCAACTGGCAGGGCCACCCTCCTGCATGAGCACTGCGGAGCCAGGCTGCCTCCATCTGAAAACCCTTCCATTTCAGGTCAGGTGCCCCCAGTGGCAATTATGAGATTTGCCCAGGAATTCCTTTTTGGGACCATAATCATAGCTGTTTGTTGCCTTTTTCCTTCATTTTTCCCCTTAATATTCATTGGCAATTTATTTATTTTGTTTTTCCTCCTCATTGTTAGCAGATATAAAGGAACAGCAAGAACTAAAGGTTTAAGAACAAAATTAGTGGATAAGACCATAAAACTGAGAAAATATCTACTGACTTTTTTTCCCTGAAAAATGCTGTGAGAGGACAACTGAGTTATTTGATTATTGTGAAAAACGTATTCCAGCCCTTGAAACACCAGGAAATATGGCTTGTGACCAGATGGGTTAGCAAGTTAGAATGACATTAGGGAGGATGAGATGCCTGGTCCCCACAGGAGGAGAAAGAGCCAGTAAGATTCAGTGAGGTTGTAAGAGACCCACGTTGGATGACCTGGTGGCACCAGGTCTGCAGGGCAGAGGCAGGGCTTCTGCCCTCATTGTCATCCCTTCGCTTTTCTCTGGGCTTTGACCTTGTCTCTGTGGTTTAAGAAACTGACAAATGAAATATTCACTTTGGAAAGTCTGGATTTAATGGTACTTTAATAAAAAAAGCAAAAGGATAAATGATAATGAAGTTGAGTTCTTCAAAACATAGGGATGTCTATTCCAATATGTACACTTAAAAATCAAAGATGGAAGTGTTCATTAGTCATGCACTAGAGTGGCATTACAGAAACTGTGGTCATTATGTCAGGCGTCTCAGAATAACCTGGGTGCTTATTAATGTGCACATCATTCCCAGCCCTGTCTCAGATTTCTGGGATCAGAATCCTGGGAGGTGACCTAGAGTCCTGCATCTAATCTGCTCCCCAAGTGACTCTGATGCGCACCAGAGTTTGAGGATCACTGCATCGGAGGACCCCGAGCAGAAAGAACAGGTGTGTCCTCTACATCGTTATAAACAAAGAGTACTTCTATTCTTAGCTTGTGGTAGGAGGGGGAAGGAAGTTCTTCGAGAAGGCTAGCCAGCAGGGTTAAAACTAGCAACTAAGAGGCTTGTGGGCTCTCTTTTTATTTGATTTCTAAGGAAATTGTGAAGAGGACTATCCCTCTGGTTAGGAAATCCAGGTCAAGAAGAATAGCTCACCCAACAGTCAAACAGCCTCCCTCCCCACCAGGAGCTTAGAAGTCCTTCCCATCTGCAACCCAGACCACCACATGGTCCTGCCTACCCCACGAAAGTGCCTATCACATTCTGAAATCCAGTAGGACTCCTTCCATCAGGATGGGTGCGTGGTTAGACTCTCTCCTTTCTTACCATTTTCTTCCACTTCATCCTGCGATTCTGATACCAAGTCTTCACCTGCAGCTGAGTGAGTCCCAGGGACTGGGCCAAGTCCAACCTGGAAGGCACAAGATGCAAAGGAAGGATGAGGAAATGGGGAAGGGCAGCGGGGACTGGGTCCTGCTGTCGAGCTCAAGCACTTGCCACCAAAGCTCAGACCTCCCGCTTCATTTACCAATTCTTCCCCAAAGGGCTTTTCTTTCCGCCCAAGGATCGTAGGGAGGAAACTCTGGGAAGCTGAGAAACAGAAGCCCACACCCAAGGGCGCCTGGGCCTGGCCCCACCCTGGAAACGCCCACTGTCTGCAATGGGCCTGAGAAGGACGGCTGGGCCTTCATCACACAGTCCTTGTCCTGAGCTGGCAGGTCTTCACTCGGATCCTCTACAAATGAGGACTCTGAACCAAAATCCAAACCTGGAAACGGAAGGTACAGCTGTGCATTCCCCAAGGGAGCCCCACTCACCACTGCAGACCCAGTTCCAGGCCCTCCCTGCAGGTAAGCTCCCCCCTCCAACCTCCACTCTGTACCTTCCCCCTAGACAGCCCCACAGTCTCTGCTGTTCTCTAACCACTTCGCACGTATTATTTCTGCCTCTCAACAGCAAGAGCAGGGCATGTCTTCCACTTCTTTCATATCCACGGAAGTGACAATCACATTCTTAGGTCCAGAAGCAGGGCTCCAAAATACCTTTTGATGGATTGATCCATTCCCTGTAGCTGCCCTTAAACTGTTGCAATGATTAAAATGTTATAAATAATTAAATGTTATAAATATTCCAAAGGAAACATTAAATCCATAGCCCTCCTGCCTTCCATTCTACTAATCATAGCTCTGCACTTCTCAGTAGCCATCTGAAAAGTCCTAAAAGTCAAAGCCAGTCCTAGGAAGTGTGCAGTTGGGGCAAAGTCCAACAACACAGCGACTGTTTCCTGAGCCCCACAGTGTCCCAGGCTCCATGCTAAGTCCCCAACATCTGCTTGCTATCTCATCTATTCTTTTCACAACACTCTGAAGTAGGTATAATTATTCCTATTTCACAGGGAAATGATTCAAGGTTTAGAGAGCTTAGAATCTATTAGCACTATGGCCAAATCCTGCCTGCTCCCTGTTTTGTGAATATAGTTTTACTTGAAACATAGAGACGCTCGTTCATTTACATATTATCCACGGCTGCCTCTGTGCTACAACATCAGAATTGAGTAGCTGTGACAGATCATACTGCTCATGCAGCCTAAAATATTTATATCTGACCCTGTCCTAAAAAACTTTGCTGACCCCAGGTAGAGGATCCTAGAGCCAGAGGTAGAGGCAGGATCCAAATCCACTTCTCTGACTTGTACACCACCTGCTGTGTTGGGGCTCACACGCACCCACAATATATTTGTACAAGTTGGATCTGCTAAAGGGAAATGCAGGGATGCTACAGCCCACAGAGCAGCAAACAACCTAAGTGGAGCAAGTGGAATGAGAAAGAGAAGTCTGTAGCCAGGCTTCCAATCTCAGTCCTCAAGCCTATGATGTTGACCCACATGCGCAAGAACCCCAGGCTACCTAAGCAACTGGAAGGACCATCTCCTTAAGCCAACACTAGCTGCCTACCTGAAGCTCCAACCTTACTCAATGAAGTAGTGTGAAGTTTTAATGCAGCAATTTGGGACGATCACCTTTGATACAACTTGGGCAGTGACCCCCCTTTTTGAAGGTGCCCAAGTTTCTGAAGTTTGTCGTTTGTGGATCTAAGGCCCACAAGCTCACACAAGCCTGTGCAGCCACAGCCCGAGCCGTGGAGAGTCTCAGGTGCATGTTCTCAGCTGCACCTCTCTCTACCCGAGGAGATCTAACCATTAGGGAGACCAACGGGCAGCAGCCCTGAAGGATCCAGGCACTAAGTTTTGGCACTCCCTGGTGCGCTGCCCAGTCCCCCTGCTCAGACCAGATTGCACAATTTAAATTCCCATTAATAAGCAGAATCTTCCTTCAAGGGACTTTGGAACTTGTCTTAAATCTGCATTTACATATATCTGGTTGTCCTTGCAGATGGCTACTGGAAGCTGGCAGTTTTATTGAAAGTTATTAACAGACTAAAGCCAACAAATTCCCAGCACCAACAGCACTTAGCTCTTCCCAGTAAGGAGGCACTGCTTCCTGAGCAGTCATTCGCCAAGGACCAAGCACGCAGGGGGCCACCCCACAGACTCCTGGTCTCACAGGCCTCCCTGGAGACCGGTCCTCTGTGGGCTCTGCAGTGCCTTCCCCAGCCCAGTTCACCTGAGGCCATCAGGTGCATTAGTCAGTGGAAGGTTCAGTTCATGGCTCTGCTGCTGCGTTAGCAAGTGGTGTTAGCTCACTTGGGAAAAATGCAGCCCTGACTCACTCTGGCTACAGAAACATGCTTCACTGTCATCAGCTTTCTCTCATTACCTGCCACCGTTACAAATTCTCACTTCCCTGCATATATGCTTAAGTGGGCTCACCTAGGAAACTGGAGAAACAAACACAGAGCAGGAGGGCGAGAGCTGTGGGAGGAGGCCATGCTCATGGCCCTGGTCACGTAGGGAGGCGAGGATCATCTGAGCGGGCGGGTTAAGGCGGCAGCTTCAATGCCAGCCAGATGGTGTCCTCTCCAGGCAAATGAATCAATCCTGTGCAGGTCACCTGAGAGACGCCTGGGCAGGTATCAGGAAGCCCCAGGAGGTTCATCAAGAACTAACATTTCTGTAAAATCATCCTCTGACTTCTAGAAAGTAAGCCTAAAATTTTACCCATGTGTGCAAAAGCCCTTTCACAAGCTACTATGCCCCCAACTTGTAAATAATGGTGCCCACTCCCCAGGCTGCACAAGTCCACGAGGCTCTCAGTTACGTGCTGGGGGCATCAAAATACCCATTTAATACCCAGAGATCCTGTCTAATAATACCTGATTCACAGACCTGTCTCCACTGTCTGCCGCAAGGCACCCAAAATGCACAGGTCAAAAACAGGACTCACCCTTCCCACCCCCAGACCCACGCTGTCCTCTGCCTCTGGCTTCAGTTAATGGGTCCCTGCTTACTTGGGGCCCAGTCAGGAACCACAGGACTCTCAGCTCCCTTCCTGCCTCCTCCCCCAATGCTGACTCTGTCCACTCTCTCCTCAGAATTGTCCTCCCTTCTGCTCTCGCCTGTCTATTCCCACCATCACCCCTAATCCAAGTCTTCAGTGACTATCCCTGGATTCTGTCCGTTAACTGGTTTCCCTGCTCCAAGTTTTGTCTCTCGGATCCATCATTTACAGCATCTCTGCAAAGATGATTCTAACGGGGAAGTCTGGTCACGTCGCTCCCAGCTGGTAAAGGCCGCTGACTGCATGGGCCACCAGGCCGGCGTTCTCGGCCAGGCACACAACCCTTCCCGCCTTTCGGCCTCATCCCCGCCCCAACCCATTCGCACCTTAAGCTGCAGATATCCCAAGCCATTCGCGGTTCCCTCAACATGCCCAGCGAGACAGGCTTCTTACTGAGCCTGATATGCCATCCCCTCGGTGCAGGGTGCCCTGTCCTTCCTGGAATCAAACCTCTTCTCCAGTGTCACCTACTCTGGGAAGCCCTCCCTACCCCGTCTGACACACTCCAGCAGATCCTGTGTTCCCACAGCGCTCAGCACCACGTGAGCACCAGGACCGGGCTCCCCGGGCCGCAGGTGGTTGTTATGCCTGCCCGTGACCTCCTTCACAGCCACTTTGGGACGTACATCCCTGCCCCAGTGCCCGGCACCCAGAGGACCCTCAGATAACAGCGACGCTGTCCGGTTCATTGACTCTGTACCCAAATTCCCTTTCGGCCAGTGATTTGCAGACTCCTCTCTCACTTAAATGTTCAGCAAAGAGCTGCTAAAGGCTTAAGGAATTCATTTGTGTTTCCTTCCCTTTCTCTTGACAGGACGGGGTCAACCCTGACGTGGACAGGGCGATGGGCGCAAGGCGTGACGGCTGTCAGCACGCCACAGGCCGGCTGCCGTGCCGCGTGCTGGACTCCCCAGGGCCGCGCCCGTTAAAGCCAGGTGAGGCGACCGGAGCCCAGCAGAGCCCTGCCACGCCGCGCAAACGCAGTCCCCTGCGGCGGGCGGCGCCACAGCCCAGGCTGAGGGAAAAGGAGTCTCCCTTCCCAGGGGCCCTCACTGCAGAGCCCCTCCCCGCGCGCTCACCTGTCCGGGGTGGACAAGTACTTCTGCTTCTGGAATTTCTTCTCCAGGCCCATGAGCTGCAGCTCAGTGAAGATGGTGCGGCTCCGGCGGGGCTTCTTCTGCCGCGGCGCGGGCTGCTCCGCCTCCGACTCGCTGCTGGCTAAGGCCTCGCCGCCCAGGGCCTCGCCCGGGACCGCCTCGCCCACCGGGACCGCCTGGCAGGACAACGCCTGGGCGATCCCCGGCGCGGCCGGGACAAGGTGGGAGATAACCGCCGGCTGCCGGGTGATCACTGAGAGCAGAGGATATGCCCGAAGGGAAGGGGAGCCTGGAAAACAAACAGGGAGGGAGGTCACCGTCACCGTCACGCAAGGAGCAGCGGGGGGAGGAGGCCAGGAGCCCCCGGAGGGCCACCTGCTGAGACCTTTCTGGCTGGCAGGGCCTCCTGCTCCTAAGGAGCTACAGGTGGAGGAGGGGGAAGAGAAAGCGGCCACTCGAGGCCTACAACTTCAGGGCGGGCAGACAACGTGGAGACCTGTCTGTGAGACACTCAAGCGGCCAAGAGGTACCTGCAAGTCCTCCAGTTTTAAGTGAATCTTTCCCCTCTCTCTCCCTCCTGAATCCCTAAATGCTTGGTCAGTGGGACCAAGCAGACGAAAAGAAGTGGTCAGAAAAAGCTAGAAACACTTATTTCAGAAATCCAACAAGATTTCCTGAGACCCACCCATCGTCTTTATCAAAAGACATGCCTGTTTTAGGTTCCTTGAATCACTGAATTTTTCAGAGCTGGAAGGATGTTTTAGGATCATTTAATTCAATTCCCTTACTTCAGAGATGACTAAATAGTCCCAGAAAGGTTCAGTGACTTGCCTGAGATCACATAGCAAGGAAAAGGCAGATTCGGGAGTCCAACCAAGTTCTTCCGGCTCGAACACCAGGGCTCTTATCACCACATCTCGAATCGCACAGACTCATCACTTAGAAGAAGGGACCAATAGATTCTATTTCCATGAAAACTCAGGTCAGCTACGACTGGTGCCCACAGCACTGTGGTAGGGAGGATTCTCAGGCTGGGTGAGAGCCTGGCTCACCAAAGGGCCCTGGTGCTGAGGGTGGCTAACAGTGTCTGCCATGGACATGCACAGGGCAGGCTACGGCGGCATCTGTACTAGCTACATGGCACTCGTGCTTTAAGAATTCAAGGCAAGAGTACTTCCCCGTCCAACAATCTGTTAAGCCTTCAAAGTTCCAGTAAAGATCTCTCCTTTCATTATTCAATAAGCATCAGTTTTAAAATGTCTCAATCATTACCTATGTAAATCATTTCATCTTTCAGTTGTCACCTGTACAGTGAATAAGAACAGCTGATTCAAACTCTAATATACCGATGCCACAAAGTCCCTCTCACCCACCATTTGATAGCTGATGGCAACGGAGAAGCCTCAAGGCTGCCCCGTGGACTCTGTCCTGCCTGACAAGTGGCTACAGGGCAAGGCAGACATCTGAGCCGAACCCACAGACATCACGGAAGCACCAGGTACGACTCGTGCTCTCGCTCTTTTTTCTGGGTTGGCATTTCTCTTCTTATTCCTTCCCATGCCTCTGCTTTGGACCCCAGTCACAGTTATTGAAACCAACAACTTCTCTTGTTCTTTGAGTGTATTTCCAGCAAGGCCCAAGGGAAACCACAGAGTTGTTAAATAACAATAAATCACCAAGTGCTATGACTTCCATTACTCTCCTGCCAACTCTAACACTTGAGGTTTTGTGTTACGGATTCTTTTTAAGGAAAAAAATCATCTGTGAATGATATTTTATAGCAAGAAAATGAGGAATGCCTGGGCTCATGGATTGCATCTCCCAGTACAAGTGATGAAATGATACTTCTTGGAAAAGAATCTGAAAACTTCTTAAATAGGCCTAAGATGTTTCTCATCTCAAATCATTTGACTCCTTTAATTCTGCCATTTCTTTCAAAAGAGACTATCTTTCTTTAGCAGGCTAATTTATAAGCTAGAAACGCAGGAGCTTATCGGTGTAGTAAATGACTAGTTATCTAACTGTAAGTAAGCCTTTTTATCACCTTTCTCTTTTGTAAGATGGTTAAATATTTTTTCCCCTAACATTGAATAATATTTGAAAGCATGGTAATGTATCTAGGATTGGCAAGGATATGGGAAAACAGGCACTCATATCTTGTTGGGGGGGGTTCATAAAACAGTATAATCTTTTAGAACAACAAACTAAGCCATATCTACCAAGTTACTAACAGGGAATTCTGCAAGCTGCGGTCTATGTGTACAGAGATTTATGTACAAGCGTATTCACTATAGTCTTGTTTATAATAGTGAAAAGAGAGAAAGAACCCACATATCTACCCATAGGCCAGTCTATCTATCGTATGGACTACAACGTAACCATTAAAAAGAACTATCTCAGGCTGGGCAAGGTGGCTCACGCCTATTAGCCTAACACTCCAGGAGACCGAGGTGGGAGGGTCACTTGAGGTCAGGCATTCAGGACCAGCCTCCACAAAAGTAAGACACATCTACAAAAAAAATAGAAAAATTAGGCTGGTGCGGTGGCATGCATCTGTAGTCTCAGCTACTCGGGAGGCTGTGCCAGGAGGATCACTTGAGCACTTGAGGAGTTTGAGGTTGCTGTGAGCTGTGATGATGACCCCACTGCACTCTACCCGGAGTGATAGAATGAGACTTTGTTTCAAGACAAAATGTAAAAAAGGAACTATTTCTATAAACTGATATGGACAGATGAATAGTGATATATATATTATATATATACAAATTCATATTGTTAATATGAGAAAATAACTAAAATATAAAGAGAGAAAAGTATGGTGTAAAATAGTTTGCATTATCATAAAAAAATCTCTGTGTGTTGTCTGAATTTATGAATGTATTTTTTCAAAGCCCAGAAAGCTACTTACCAAATTATTAACAGTTATAGCGTCTGGGGAAACGGTGGGAGTAGAACAGGAATAGAAAATAGGAATAGGGATAGAAAACATATGTATTCATCTAATCCTGCCATAAATATTCATTGAACATCTACTACGGGGTACACTCTGCTTTGGAGACTGGGAATACAACGAGTACTACGAAGTCCACCTCGGCGGAGCTTACAATTCAGTAGGGGAGGCAGGCAGCAAACAAACAAATATATAATACAATGCCAGGTAACAATGAATGCAATATTCACACACAGTGGGGCATGGCGCAGGCAGGGAGGGGCAGGGTCTCGGAGCAGGAGTCAGGGAAGGCCAGCCTTCAGCAGGAGAGCACCTCCCCACGGAGGAGAGCCTTGAGAAGGCACAGGGACCAGCGCGCAGCACGGGGGAGAACCAGCAGGTGCAGAGCCCTAAAGGGAGAAGCAGTGTGGGTTCAACAAACAGCAAAAGGGCAGAGTGAGCAAGGGGACAGGACACAGGACAGCAACATTTAGAGAGATCTGCTGGAGCCACAGTATGCAGGGTCTTGTAGGCCAGGGCGAGCCATTTGGGTTTTATTCGGAATATGATCAAAAGCCATGAGCGAGAAGTGGGCTGGGGAAGGACACGATCTGATGGAGGTCTTCAAGGGACCCTGTAGTTCAGGGTAGAGATCTGGCTGTGGGGGTGGTTGTGGGAGCAAAGAAACCAGTGAGCAGGCAAGGCCGTGTTCTAGACCAGACACACAGCAGCTACAGCAATGAGGGTGTCAGACTCAGTATATTTTACGGTTAGGGTTGAAAGGACTTTGTGCAAGGACTGAATGTCAGGTCAGAGAGAGAGAGAGGGACTGAGAGTGCGTGCCAGGTAATGCCTGGATTTTTAATCTTAGCAACTGAAGGATGGATGGAAGGATGGTACCCTTCACTAAGATGGGAAAAAACTGGGGCTGGGGCAAGAGCAGCATTGGGTGAGAAAGCCAAGATTTTCATGTCAGACAAGTTGCATGTGTTAAGAGGCAGCTGGATAAACCCGTCTGGAGTGCAGGGAGGCTGGGCTGGAGACATGACTTTGACTAATGGGAGTGTATGTGGTATTTTGAGCCATGAGACTGCATGAGATCCCCAAGGGAGTGAGTGGAATAAAGAAATACGGAAATCCAAGGATTGAGCCCTGGGGCACACCAGCCTCTGAGGTCACAAAGAGGAAAAGGAGCCAGCCAAGACTGAGAAGGAGGGACAAAGAGGAAGTGGGAAAACCAGCATGCCGTGGCATCCCAGTAACTAGTGATACTTCTGTATCATTTATATTTTGCACATGCATGTATTATATTTGTAATTTTAAAAAGTAAAATTAGACTAAATGAGCTTTAAGTTTCATTCTCATTGTAAAGTTTTAATATATGTTCAATTTGTCAAAAAAGTATGATCATTTATTGACTCCTGTACCTATGAATAGTTAAAATTTCTCCTAGAAAGCTAGGCAAAGAAAATAAATCTAGAAATCCCAAAAATGGAGTACGAAATATGTGTAGTTTAATGCACTTCTTGTAAAACAAAGATTGTGGGTGGTCTCTTGGGCAAAGGGGAATCTCTCTGCCCACTCAGAATCAAAGGGTCTAAGGAATTTTCTCCCTTATGTTAGAAGATGTTTGAGTTCTCTTGTTAGTAGAATCCTATTCATTCTTTTAAAATAAACATCATTTAACATGGAGAAATAATAGCTTTTTGAACAAGTGGTGCTAGACCAACTGGGCATCCATATACAAAAAAATTGAAACTTGACCTTATACATTATTTTTCTAAATCACTCAAAATGAATCATAGACCCCAATGGAAACACATACCTGTAAAACTTTTAGAAGGAAACACAGGAGAAAATCTTTGTGACTTTGGGTTAGGCAGAGAACTCTTAGCTATGACACCAAAAGCATGATGCGTGAAAGTAAAACAACAACAACAACAACAAAAAAAAACAAACAAAAACACTGGCCTTCATCAAAATTAACAATTATTTTTCTTTGCAAAAGATAATATTAAGAAAATGAAAAGACAAGCAGCACACTGGGAGAAAATATTTGCAAATCTCACACCTGACAAATGACTTGTATATATAAAGAACTCACAAAGTTCAAAAATTAAAAAATAACCTCATAAAAAATCAGTAGAAAATTTGAAAAGACACTTCTCCAAAGAGGATACATACATGGCATATAAGCACAGAAAAGAAGCTTAAGATGATTATAAGGGAAATGCAAATTAAAGCCACGATAATATACCACTACACGTCTGTCAGAGTAGTCTAAATGTTTTTATAAATTGACAACATTAAGTGTCAGCAAGTATGGAGAGCAACTGGAACTCTCCTACATTGCTGGTGGG